TTAAACTTCAGTAAAGTCAATAGCCACCACCAATATAATACTAGGAATGCCAATTTGCTCGAAATACCACCTCACAAAACTTCAAACTATGAGAAATGTCCTAAATATATAGCAATAAAATATTTTAATCATTTACCGGATAATATAAAAAATCTTAATGCAAAAAAGTTTAAAATTAAAATTAAAAGTATACTTTTAGAAAAGGAATATTATTCAACCAATGAATATTTGTGTGACCTGGCACTGCTGTGATATTTCTAATTAATGTGATAATTTTGTTTTTTGTTTTGATATTTGTGTAATAGGTATTGTATCGTAATCTACCATATGTCTTGTAAATTTATTTAATTATGTACCCAGTATTGACGTATTCCATACAATGTATTTTGTCGCAGGAATAAAGAGATTATTATTATTATTATTATTATTATTATTATTATTATTATTATTATTATTATTATTATTATTATTAATTTCCTATATATTTTCTATCGGGCCGTATCCGGAAAAAACCATGGACAAATGCACATATTGAATCCGGTAGCGCCCGATAGATTATTTTGTATATGTCTCTATGGGGTATTTTAAGCAGGAAAGAGTCTATTTATTTGCACGTATATTTATTTATTTTATCGCGAGTACCAAAGATCAACTGACGTCAGTACTGCTCCATGCTGCGCCGAAATACTGAGTTATCTGGACGTTTGCTCCTGTACTGTAAAGATAGGAGCTGTATCACCTTCTTCTTACACCCTGATCTAAATCATCCACTCAAAAACGCACAAAAAATAATCGGCCCTGCCATTTAGGAAAAGTTCAGTGAAGCTGGGTTCTAACAGAGAAATAACGTAATATAATTTAATTTAACTTTAAAAGTAATTTAATTTAATTTACTTGCGTTCATACAAAAAGTAACGTAATTTAATAGTGTTTAAAATTAAAACCAATATATGGCTTACTTATAAGTATATTATTAAAACCTTTTACTCAAAATAGGTTAGATTCTCCCAAAATAGGTTAGATTAGTACGAAATAACCTTGAAATACCGTAATTTAATTTAAAAGATAAATGTTGGCCAAGTCTTAAATTACATCACTGTATAAGAAGGATTCTTGGGTTTTAAAAAAAGTTAATTAACTTTTAAGTTAAATTAAATTACATCTTAAATTAAATTACTTTTCTGTTAGAACCAGGCTTGACATGCACACTAGGGTGGTCCGAAAAACGTAAAAAAAAAATATTTGAGATATTTATTTTTGGGTAGCAATAAAAAGTTACCTTATGTTAAAAGTAATTTATTAGAAAAAAATGTAGCGTACTAGCCCATTATTTAAGGGTCCCCCGGGGGCCCAAAATATTTTTTTTTGTATGTTTTGACTGGGGTGGGAACAAAAAGTTACCTTATGTTAACAGTAATTCTAGAAAAAAAATGAGCGTACTAGCCCAATATTTAAGGGTGCCCCGGAGGCCCAAAATATTTATTTTTAATCATATTTTAATTGGGGTAACCACAAAAGTTACCTTATATTAACAGTAATTCTAAAAAAAAAGAGCGTACTAGCCCAAAATTTAAGGGTGCCCCGGAGGCCCAAAATATATTTTTTGTTCATATTTTAATTGGGGTAACCACATGTTAACAGTATGTTTAGAAAAAAATAGCCATTCTAGACCAATATTTAAGGGTGCCCTGGGGGGCCCAAATTTTTTTATATATATTTTAATTGAGATGGCAACAAAATGTTACCCCATGTATTATTGCATAGACAAACCAAATGCCTGTATCAGTCTAAGTTTTTTTTATTATTTTATTAAGACGCCTTTTGATGAAAAAAATTAGCAACTCTTAGCTTGATTAAATTAAATTTAAAAAGGATTTTGCGTTACTCTAAATTAATTAACACAACCACTATCAAAATAAATAAAGTCTTAAAAGAAGTAAATGCTTGGTCAGTTAATCATAGACTTCAGTTAAATGCCAAAAAGAGTCTTGTAATAAATATTGGTACAGTATATAATATATAGTATATTAATAATATACTATATATTATATACTAATATAATATTATGATAAATAAAAAACAATATAATTTTAATACCATACATATAAATAATAGAGAAATACCTCAGCAAGAAACAGCAGGAAATCTGGGTGTTATTTTTTATACAAACCTGAACTTTGAAAGCCATGTTACAAGACAACTTAGTTTTTGTTATATGAAGCTGAAATCACTATATTAATTTAAGTATGTTCTAAATTCTAACACCAAGTGCAAAATTGTTTCAACATTATACACCCTATTATAGACTATTGCATGCCAGTCTACTACTCATATCATACTGAAACATTTAAAAATAAACTCATGTATTAGATTCATATATTTAGTCGAAAAATTTGACCCCATTACTTCAATCTATTTGGAAAACAAGCATTTAAAAATAATTGATCCTTACAAGCATAGGTTTGGAAAATTAGTGCAGAAAGTAAATACCCAATAATTGCCTGAATACCTATTCAACAACTTTATTCAAAGATCCAATAAACCTTGATTTAAGACACAATCTTTTTTAAATACCTAGTCACAAATCTTCAAAATCTAAGGATTCGTTTATAGAACTATCTATAGAACTTTTGAACGATAAAACATTCTTTAACATAATATTTAAATATCCAAACACATTTAATTTAGAGTACAAAAATTTGTTATTAACTGGTGTGATATGAATTTAAATTATAGGATTTAGTTTAATTAATATGTGATATGCAGAATAAAATAGATTTAATTTCTTAGTAGGTGGTATGGAAGAACGTCCTTACGAACGCAGCCTTTTGTGTAATTAATTTTGTGTTTTACGCAATAAAGCATTTTTATTATTATTATTAATATTATTATTATTAATTAATTGGATATTTGCTCCTCGAGTTCCATCCGCTCCCTCCCACCCAGTTTTTTTATTATTTAAATAATATTGAGACTTGTCATATAGGCCGGTAAAGATGTCCGCGCATCTATATATATATATGGTTATAACCATTTCTTGCTACCTCACAGCAAATTTTTAATGCAGCTTCTGTTACAAGCTTCACAAACTTTTTCACCGCTTGCGTGTGAAAGGGAAACTTGCCGAAGTTCTATATAAGGTTCGGCAGCCGAACCTTATATAGAAGTCGTCTGCTTGACTTATAAATATTTTTAGTTCTTTTATTTTAAAAAAACATTTCCAAATTTATAAACATTTTTAACCCTAGAATTTGCTAAACCGCCAAATTTTTTACGTCAAATTCTAATATTGGACATTTTTTTTGTAAACATATTGTTAACATAAGGTAACTTTTTGTGGCTACCCAAATTAATATATATAAAAAAAAATGTTGGGCCCCCGGGGCACCCTTAAATATTGGGCTAGTACTCTAATTTTTTTTCTACAAATTGTCAACATAATGTAACTTTTTGTTGCCACCCCAAACAAAATATAAAAAAATAATATTTTGGGCCCCCAGGGGGACCCTTAAATATTGGGCTAGTATGCTAATTTTTTTTTTACAAACTACCTTTAGCATAAGGAAACTTTTTTTTGGTACCCCTAAATTGAATTCAAAAAATAATTTTTTCGGCCCACCCTAATGCACACGTACAAAAGAATTATATAAATAAAAATAATATACTGTTATAATAGTATATTATGTATCAAGTTTGATAAACGCCATTTTATACACGAATTTAATTTAAATTAATATAGAAAAGTTTATAAACGAGGTGCATACTATACTTTTTCTACGACAAATACTTATTATTATCTTAAAATGATTTAAATCAAAAATTTGTATAGAGCGCCATCTATGAAACAATAGGGGAATCTGTGTGTCACCGTCAAATGTCAAATTTTATAAACGCAATTACAAAGGTTATAAATCGAAATGTATTTCTTGAAAATTGAGTTTTTCACAGTGAAAGTAAAGAAAATGTTTTATGAGCACTTTACAGTGGAGTCCGTGCCCGAATTTAAGTTATAGTTTACTGCCGGCGAAATTAAAAGGTCAGTACAATGTTCATATAAACTTTTCAAATATTGGCGTTGAGAAACTATTTAATACCTACTTTTGTATTTTAGTATTGAGATAATAAAATAATTTTCACATTTAGTATTATTTTACAAGAAAGGCACTTTATTTTAACGATTGTATGACATTTGACAACTGTCAACTAACTTAAAACTGTTGTTAACTTCAGCCCGTGACTAAAGCGCCATAAAGCCACAACTTGTCAATGTGTATTTAAAAGGTCACTTAGTGTCATCGAAATATGTACGATAAAGGGCGTTTTAAAGGTGAAAGTAGAAAAAATATTAAATTATAAGGTCTAAGTGAGTATACTATTTTCTTAAATGGGTGTATTGATGGTTGCATAAGCATTGCAGCAAACAAACATGTATCATACATAATTCGTATACCGCATAGAGTTTCTCTACGGTATACCGTTAATTAATTGTTATATGTATATGTTCTGTGATTAATTGATTAATAATCACATGTGAAGCATGACCAAAAAACCTAAATAATTTTTTAATCAACTTACTAAAAGTCTATATGAAGCACTTTTATAAAAGAAAAGATCTCTACCCTTCGTGGGGTATAGTAAGTACCCATTATTGATTTTTTTCGGGAAATAATGGACGTTTTTTTAAAGAACCTGTCAGGTTTTGCATCTAAATGATTTAGTTTATAACCTTTTTCTTGGTTAACTCTATTTTAATAAATCGTAGGTATATTTACCTACTATAACGACTGGTTTATAAAATAATGAATTGTGTTTTACTTTAAGAATTCTAGCTTTTCTTTACCACATAAAAAATTGCTGCTTAAAGTTTAAATATTATTAAACAATAATTAACTCGAGTTGATCAATGCAAGAATGTATTTATGGGTTGTGTGGTATTTATATTTACCGCAGTCTACGTTCGGAAAAGATCGTTGAGACGCGCACGCGACGAGCAGTGGAACCCATCCTCGCATTTGGCGTGTGACAGGTGGCTGCACTGGCACGCCAGGGAAAATGGCTGCTGTATTGGATTGAGCGAAGGTTGTGTACAAACTTTGCCGTGAAAAACAGTGTTTGTAAAATAAATAATATACATTTTTTAAGTGAAAAATTGTTTTTAAGTCGTGACAAAGTGACTGTAGAATATGTGTTTATAAGTTGTTGTTTGTACGAGGTATATGAAATTTTATTTTTGTTTATTAACAGTGTTTTTAAGACATTTGCCAAATAAAACTGCGGTTAGGGGTGAAAAAAAATTGCATTTTTCATACACATTTAAGGTTATGATATAAACAATTGATAGTGTTTGCAACAACCTGTTAAAGGGCATGGTGGACTTATATGTTTACTTTATGTTTGTTTTTAGTTCTTTAAAATGATGCTATAAATCTGGATAATGCAGTCAGAAATGAAGAAAAACAGTGATTTTTTATACAAAATGCATATGGATACTACGCAAAATTAATTAAAAAATCGGTTTATAAAAGAAACCATTCAGTGCAATAAGACAAACTTGTGTGGACAATGTTAAGACTGTAGATTAAACTTTCAGAAAATGTTCTACAGGGTGTTGTGAAAAAGTTTTAAAAAAAGCGATGTAATGAGAGGGTGGTAGAGCTTAACGCTGGATCGCGCCAGCAGTGGTCCAGGGGGTTGCATAGACGGCGGTGGGACGGTCCCCTCCGCCGTCGTTCCTCAGCCCCCAGGACTGTCACCACTCCACCCTGAAGTTACCCCAAAACAGGCTGTGGTAGAAAGGTAAGTGTCCATATACAGTATAGTACCTATATTAATATTTTAACAAGGAGATAGGTATAATTAATTATTTAAATTAAATAACTTTTTGACCTTTCGTTGCTTTTACCCCTTAACTAAAATAATTAATATAATAAATTTTAATACTGACACAAAATATTTTAAAAATTATTTTTATTATTTATTATTTATTTAATATAAATTTTATACCTAGATAAGTATTAATATACCTAGTATATTAAAGAACTAATGTCATAAAATTTTTCGCATGAGGACAATTTACAAGTTAGTTTTGGAGCATAGTGCATTCCGTGGGATTTTTTGTGAAGGGAAGATGAAACTATCTGAAATCAGTTTTTTATACACAAGGCAGTAGTGTATTATCGGGTGTTTTGTTTAAAAATGTGTCAATTTTTTATGACGTCATTAATCCGATACCTAACTGTTATTTAAGGTATGCGTTTATAAAATGTCGCATAATTTCGTAATTAGTGGTCCTATTAAAAAAAAATTATATAATCTCTTAAAATAACCATAAAAAAGGAAAAAATTATTTAAAACATTTTTTTTATCTCAAATGGTTAAGAAAATATTGGCTTTTAAAACTGACATTGTTATATTTTTATATTTTGCATGGATCGATTTGGAGCCATTTTGCAAGAAATTTTAACTTTTATGAGCTGTAACTCAGCTATTTTTGATTCGATTAAAACGATGTTTTTACCGTTGGATGAGAAATTTAACCACCTTTATATATCGGATTTACCCACCTTTATATATCGGATTTGGCAAATATCGGATTTTCCATACCCTCTCGATGCTGATTTAAGTAAAATCTTAAATTAAAAAACAAAAATATACCGTCATTTAGGTGAAGGGCCTAAATAAGAAAAAAAAAAGAAAAAAGTTTTTTGTGTTTAGCGCACCAAAATCACCCTAAAAATTTAAAATTAAGTTTCTATTTTTCCTTGTAAAACAGTGTAATAAATTATAATTAACAGGAAATGGTAATTAAATAGGTAATAGTAAATATTTTAAAAGAAAACTGTTAAAATTAAGTATTTAGAAATTAAAAATGCTTTTAAATTCAATAAAATACTATATAAAATCAAATTTAAACACAAAAACATACCTTAAATTAAGAAAAACAGCAAAAAAGTATTAAAATCGTAAAATACTTTTGACAGTTCTATGTAAATATAAATTAATAAAGTCAAGGCACACTTAATTTATAAGCAACCAATGAAACTACTTAAATTTGCTAAAACAGTTTTATTTAAAAAAAGTCACTGTTGCTAGAGGCTTAAAAAATTGATGGGCCATCAAATTTGACGGCCCATAAAATTATACAATTGTTTCGATACAATCAAAAATTGTCAAATGTAATTTATTTCAAAGGGCACAATAAAATTAATTATTTGGCTTTTATAAATGAATGTCGAAAATGGTGGACATTTTGGATTAGAAATGCCATAAACCCCACCAGACATATTTTCAAGGTAAACACCCGGTACCACACAACTCAAAAAGGTATAAAAAAGCTATTTCTTATAGTCCCATCATCCCTTCATAAAAAATCCCACGGAGAATAATTTATTGCTTTATGCTCCAGGACTAAGTGCTAAAGTACTAAAATATGTCTTAAGACATGACTGGTTTATACTATATTATAAGAATGTATTTGCCGGTATTTGCTATTTGTTAAAATTTTAAGAAAAATTCGAATTTTAAATTATATTTGTGTATTGTATTGTTGCCATGGAGACAATATGTGTATTGTGGTATAAATTTTTTTTTTTTTTTTGATATTTAAGTGTAGGTATAAAAAAATATCTGAAAAAATTTAAATATTTAATACCTAGTAGTTATTATTAAATAATAAATTAATTTAATAATTATTAATAATTATTCAATATTTCAAATTTCTTTTTCTTTCAGATATTTTAATTATTGTCATATTTTTATATAATGTAGCATTGTAGAACATTTTGATAATAAGGTGTTGCTGGGTATAGATAATATCTATTAGATATATGTATATGTATCTAAAAATTGTTAAATATATTTTATAATAATTATTGTTAAATATTTAAATAATAATTATTTTTTAAAACGAACAGTATATACTTGGTATTTCTTTAACTGATGACACTATGAAAATTTGGCGAAATACGTCAATTTACATATCAAGGGGGACAACTGTTGAGGTATTTGTTGTTGTATTACATTTAACCCCCTGGCCTTCAGAGCACATACCCCTAAAATTTTAAATAGATACCCCTATTTATTTTACAATTTTTTAAATCCTCATGTAATTCTAGATAAGTTACAATTTTTTTGCCAAGTAGAATGTATGGAATGTATGTTTTAATGGGGTTCCGCCGTAAAAGTGATAATAAAGATAATATAATTACTTTATTAATTGTTCAAAATGGTTTCCATTGTTTTGCAAGCTCAAGTACAGCCGATATTCAAACTGTTTTGCGGACGTTTTGAAGTGTCCCTGGTAAAATAGCCCTACATTCTTGCACAATTGGAGTTGTTCAATTGAGTCCGGTTGGGTTTTGAATACAATGGATTACAAATGACCCCATAGAAGGAAATCGGGCGGAGTCAGATCTGGTGACCTAGGTGGTCATTAAAGAGCTCCCCTCCTACCAATCCATTGCTCTGGATAATGATTATCCAATCACTCCGTCCTGCTGAAAGTGTAGCAAATGTTAATCGAAAACAAGATTTCCATCGACGTCTCTTTGATTTTCCACCCAATGATTTATACGAGGCTCAATTCTTCTGCAGAAATTTACCTAAATGGTAAAATGTATGCAGAAATGTCTAACATTTCCGAAAACATTTTACCATTTAAATTTCCATCTATAAACAAAGGACCAATGATAGTATCGCCTAATATGCCCGCCCAAACATTTATTTTTTGAGGATATTGTGTATGCCCCTCTAACAATGTGAGGATTAAAGTCGCTCGAATAACGGCAGTTTTGTTTGTTCACCTTGCAATTTAAGTAGAAGGTGCACTCATCACTGAAACAGATATTTTTTATAAACTGGTGCTGAGCAATAATCCTGTTAGTCATAATTTCGCAAAACAATACGTCTGTCCGGGTCATCATCCCCTAATTCTTGAGTAATTTGTAACTTGTATTTGTAATTTGTGAAGCTTTAATACTTTTCTGACTGATTCACGCGACAGTCCAGTTTGTTCTGCAGCTTGACGAAGCGACATAGTGGGAGCCATAACAATTTGGCCAAGAACTTCAATCTGAGCGATCTTATTGACCAATCTTGGCTCATTCCTCTTCTTATTGCAAACAGTTCCAGTTTCTTCAAATTTAGCTACTAAATCTCGAATGTACTTGTGTCTAACATTTCTTTCTGGATGTCGATCATTAAATATGACCGCCGTTCTTGCAAAGCAACGGTCTTTCGCTCCATAAATAAAAATCATTTTAACGCGTTCTGCAATAGTGTAAACCATTTTAAGAAAAGGATACAAAAAACACCAAACTACTATAGCTTATTTTTACTAATCGATTCGGCAAATCAAATTAATAAATTTACACCGGGCGTACGAAAATACGAACTGCACTTATCACTTATCAGATATAACAAAATAAAACAAAAATGCACGCAAAATTTGGTTTTAATAAAAACGAGGGGTAAACCACCTAGGAATTATTGTCACCAGCCTGGGGAATTATGTGGTAATACGGGGAAATGCAGGGGAAATATTAGGTAGTACAAGGAAATATCAGGAAATACAATGCAAAATGGGGAAATATAAGGTATTATGAGGAAATATTGGGGTATTATTAGGAAATATTGAGGAAATATCGAGGTATTATTTGCGCATGTAAAGTTACGCACTCTGATATGTGTTCACGATGCCAATCGTTTTGGACGTTTTGTAAATAAGCTAAAGTATTTGTAAATAACTCGGTAAATAAACTCTACTAGTGTAATTTTTATGTTCGTTTTTATGTGTGATTGAACTTATTTCATGAAGGTAAGTACTTTCTTATATATTATTTTTAAGTTTTATTTAATATATGTTTTAATGTTTTAAATTAAATATAGCAAGCAAATAGATTATAATTATAGCTATTTACTTGTTATAAAACCATATAGGTTTAAAAACAGACTTTAAAACAAAATATACAGACAAAGCTATAGAATGTGTAATGGAAAATGCCCTTAAATAATGCACGAGAGGATTTAAGTGAACTTGGTATTTCTGAATATACAGAAGATTTCTGGATGCAAGTCGCTATAGAAATGAAACAAGAGAACACTCGAGAGAACATGATTGATGATGATGAAGATGACAAAATAAACACACAAGTTGAAGAAATTAACTTATTTGACGATACAATATTAGATGAGGACAAGCATGCAAATGAATTTAATGTTAAAAATGAGATTGAAAATGTAGGTGATAACATCAAGCTGAAAGATTACTCCAATAAGGTGAAAACCATAAATGAAGAAAGTCCCTTTTTACGAGTTAAAATGGGTACACAAGAAAAAGGAGGTTGTTATTAAGAAATCAACATATTGTTGGCTGCTGGAAGAAGGAAACGGCCGGGTGAGTACAGATAGACTAAGACGGTTTTTATACCCAGTTAAGCAAGAAAACTCCTCGCAAGAACCTCGACAAAAAAAAGGGAAACCTTAATAAGAAAGAAAAAAGCTCGGGAAATGAGTAGCAAGCTCAAGCAAGAAGGAAAAAGCCGAAAAGCTGTTGTTTATGACGATGAGGTTTCAACTGAAAGCTCAAGCGAGGATAATGATGTTGTATATGATGATTCAACAGATAGCGAAGAATTTTCCGAGCGGTCAGATGACGACAAGAATGATAATGTTACTGTTGATAAGAAAAACAAAGTAAGCAAATCATATTAATACATTATGTCTTTTGATGAAAAGAAAAAGTAAAATTTAAGTACTTAATCATTTTAGTTAAAAGTTAAATTAACATCAATTTCCTT